TTTTAGCCTTCTTTTAAGACATTCTTTGTGATTTTTTTTAAATAAAGAGCAAAATGTTAATATTTTAGTATGGCATCTATGTGGTCTGGCACCTCTGGTACATTCTTGGTAGAATTCCCTCAGTATGAATTCATCTCCATAACAGAAAACAAGGCACATTCCACTGGGCTCCTGTGGTAACAGGGATTGTTCTGGATGAAAGTTCATTGTTGTCATGTTTTTACTCAGTCAAGAACAAGCTCTTGCTTGTTGATTGAAGAATAGCATTCTGTACTTCCCACATTTTTGAACCATCCATAGCCTCATTAAGGATATTGGTTCTAATCATTTGTGTATATTATTAGTTTAACCTTTTTAATATACTTCAAAATTCAAGTATTTTTAGAAAAGACTAAGAAGCTTTCAAATGGGAGAGATCTATTTTTTCCCCCTTCCAAACCCAGAAACAATGACTCAGATGACTGGGGATATTTTCTGTCACAATCTCGCCCAACAAGCCTCATTATGCCGGCTGCACCCGAGAGTCACCAGGCCGAAGGGCTCTGCGTCCCGGCTTTGACTGAGCCATGTGGTCTTTGTTGGTCTTCCTGCCGGGAGCTTCGGGACAGGCTCACGCTTCGTCTATCTTTAGACATTATGAACACACTGAAAAGAGTTTAAACTTCAGAAGAAATACAGCTGGGAGCATTTTCTGCCTACTGTGAGGACAGAGTTGTGCCATTTACCAACCACCCCCCTTCCCACCCAAGCCATCAGGAAGAGACAGGCACACGTCCTCAAATACCAGGCAAAGAAGAAGGGTACCAGGCACTGGAGAAGATGTGCATTCCATTTGCCCACTTTTTATACTTGATTCTTTTAGTAGGAATTCGTCTCCACGTTTAATCCTTTCTTTTACCTTTTTTGGTTTCTCTTAAATGAACTGGATGTTTATTTTTTTTTCAGTCCCTTTTGTTGTAATTGTAGAGTTGATATACAGAAGGGTTCCAGTTACATGAATCAGGTAAAGAGAAATGAGTACAATTTTTTTTTTGGTCAGTTGTAGGAACTGAACTCTGGGCCTGGGCACTGTCCCTCAGCTCTTCAGCTCAAGGCTAGTACTCTTCCACTTGAGCCAAGTGCCACTTCCAGCTTTTTGCTTATGTGGTGCTGAGGAATCAAACCCAGGGCCTCGTGCATGCAAGGCAAGCATTGAGCCACCTTCTCAGCCCTGAGTACAATTTTTTTTTGAATCATGTCCCCCCTTCCATTGCTCTTTCCTAGTTTTTCCCTCCCAACGCTACTCATGAAATAGCCAGTTCATTTTCCACCTAGTGTCTAGTGAATACTACTGTTGTATTTGCTCACCCTTATTCTACCTTTTCCATGCCCTCTTTTAACCTCCCAAATACAAATAAACAAACAAGACAAAAGGAAAAGAAAACAAAAACAACAATAATGATAACTGAAAAATGTCTCGTTTCCCTTTCTTGGAATTCATTTCATAGAATATTATTTTATATGATCATATGCACATAGCTATTGAACCTTTGTCAGCCATTTCTTTGTATAGCTTCCTTTAACCTCACATGTGAAAGTCTATAGTCCTATCTAATATGTCCCAGTGTGTGTGCATGTATAATTTATTTATTTTAATCATTCATTGTATTTACTTGTAGATTTGTACACATATTCTAATTACACAAATGAAGGAAACCATGCAGCCTATGTTTCTTTGGCTCTGGCTTACTTCACTTAATATAATTTTTTTCCAGTTCTCCATTTCCTTAAGATTCGATGCAATATTTTTCTTTCTAATGGATAAGTAGAATTCCATTGTATATGTATAGCACATTTTCTTGATCCATTTGTCCACTGAGGGACATCTGTGTTGATTTCCATATATTGGCTATGGTAAACAATGCTGCAATGAACATGGTTGTGCTGATAGCTTTAGTGTGGCCTGGTTTGTGGTCCATTGGATAAATGCTCAGAAGTGGGATTGCTGTGTCATAGGGAAGCTATATATTTAGTCTTTTTTAAAAAAATTTATTGTGAAAATACCATACAGAGGGGGGTTACAATTACATGGGCAAGGTAATGAGTACATTTCTTTTTTTGCGGGGGGGGGTCCGGTCGTGGGCCTGAACTCTGGGCTTGGGCACTGTCCCTCAGCTCTTCAGCTCAAAGCTAGTGCTCTACCACTTGAGCCACAGCACCACTTCCGGATTTTTTCTTTTTGCTTATGTGGCACTGAGGAATCGAACCCAGGGCCTCATGCATGCAAGGCAAGCACTGAGCCACCTTCCCAGCCCCCGAGGGGGCTAATACATACATAGCTAATAAAGGTTTTATCCTATTGTGTGGACTGTCTATCTTTGTAGTTATGTCCTTTACCCCACAGAAGCTCTTCAGTTGGATACAATCCCATTTATCCAGTCTTTCTTTCCCCTGTTGTGATTCTGAATCTTTAAGTTTTTATTTAAAGATTGTCTCATTTTTCCAGTTGTTTTACCACAGGATGAAATGTTCATGCTTGGCTTAGGGCATTCCAACATATTTTATTATTTTTCTACTTGTATTGCTCTAATACTGCTTTAACTTCAAGACCTAATTCTATACTTTGTGTTCCCTCCTGGATTGTGTGATTACTGTTGGCATACTTTGTGCTGCTTATATGATTTTCACTCTACAAAGCATTCCAGCCATGTAATTTATATTGACCCCTGAGTTTACTAATGCCCATGTAAATGCCAATTTTTCCATTGAAAATCATTTTCTTTTACCTACATAATAAAATAAACCCTTCCTTTTGTCTTTCTATTAATGCAAGATTTCAGATAGCAAATTTCCTTTTCTTTTTCTTTTCTTTTTTTATCGGTGGGGAGACTTGAACTCTGGGCCTGAGCACTGCCCCTCAGCTCTTCAGCTCAAGGAGAGTGCCCTACCACTTGAACCACAGTGCCACTTCCGGTTTTCTGGTGGTTTATTGGAGATAAAGAGTTTCACGGACTTTCCTGCCCAGGCTGGCTTTGAACCACGATCCTCAGATCTCAGCTTCCTGAGAAGCTAGGATTACAGGCGTGAACCACCGGTGCCCGGCCAGCAAATTTCTTTATTTTTTTTTGTTTTCATATCTTTACTTACCTTTCATTTTTAGGAACATTTTTATTCGGCTGACACCATGAGATTGGCTTGTTTGCTTTCATCTACAAATCCATGTTTTCAGATTCCCCGTGTCCCTGTGAAGAAGCCAGCTTCTAGTCTCCTTGTGGTTCTGGCTGTCGCCTGTGTCTAGTTTGTGGGATTTAAAGCTTTGCCTCTTTTTTGGTTTTCAGCAATTGCAAGTTGACCTACCTGGTACCTGTGTCTATGTTTGCTAATGGTGGTAGAATGTATGTTTATCTTTAATGTGATTTGTTGAGCTTCTGTATGTATTAATGCACAAGCAAGTTTCAGGCCTCTGGATTTTGCATCTTTTTATATTCTCTGTTTCCCATGCTCCTTTGACATGTGTATCTGTTTCACATTTCTTTTACCCATCCATTTTTCTTTTCTTCTCTTCACTGTTTAATCATAGACATTTAAAAGCCTTCAACCACAAAGCCCAGTACTGGAACCCCATTTGATTCTACTTTCTAGAGATGTTAGCATCTGTAAAGCTTACTGTAACGGGTACTGACTGCTAGCAGGAAATAGGTGCCCAGAGACTCAAAAGCTCCTCGCCCTTTGTGCCCATTTAGGAGTGGAGGATGTTTTGTTCCCAAGCATCCTGGTGAACCGAGGTAGGAGCCAATCACATTTCATGTTCTCACAGATGCCAGAGGCCATTCCACCTTTGAGGGCTGGGTTTGATGGAGGACATGGCAATAGTTGGGCACACTGTTTGACTCTGTCCCACCTAGAGCGTGCACTTTGAAACTGGAGCCAGGCTTCAGGCATCCTTGGGCACCGTGAGCCACCTCACACAGAGCCAGTTTACCACTTTAGTGGCAATCTCTTGCTGTCGCTACCGCCTCGACCAGCAAGGAAGACGCGACACCGAACTCTTCTCTCTGCAGTTTATTCAGGACCTTTGAGCAATCTTCTGACCCCAACTCCGGGGAGAATTCCCCACAGCCTTAAGTACCCGCTGGGTAGCCAACCCTGATACGCCACGTGGGAACCACCAATAGGTTCAGGTGCGCGAAGCAAGCCAGATTCTTTGCCTTAGCCATATAAGGAGTTGTTTACCACAGAGAGCACTCGCCATCGGGAAGGCGGAGGGCGGAAGCCGGCACCATCTTCCAGGTGCGGCTGCACGCAGCTCTCTACATCTTGCAACAGCTGCCCAGAACAACAATCTCTTAATGGGTCTGTCCTCTAAGACACCAGCCAAGAGCAAGCTTTGTGAGAAGGGGGGGGGTATATCCTTGGCTCATCATAGTTGGGGAGGGGGGGTTTGTTTGTTTGGTTTTTGCCAGTCCTGGGGCTTGAACTCAGGGCCTGGGTGCTGTCCCTGAGCAGCTTTTGCTCAAGGCTAGTGCTCTACCACTTGAGCCACAGCACCCCTTCCGGCTTTTTCTGTGTATGTCTTGCATGCAAGACAAGCACTCCACCATCGAGCCACCTTCCCAGCCCCTGGTGGTGGGTTTTAACCATGTGAATAGAAGGGAGTGAAGCTTGGGAAATCTCTGTTTCTGAGAGAGCATCCATTGCTGTCAGAAGTCAAGTGAAAATGAAACGCATGATGTCAACAGGAGTGTTGGTAATCACAGAGGAGTCTGGGTTCTTCCCCAGTCATCCACAGACATGCCATGTGCCGACCCATCTGCCCGCCTCCTAAACGCCTGGTTCCAGTCCTTATGCAGATTCAGTCATTCAAAGCCATCTGCAGCTGCTGCTGTCTTCTGGGCCTTGGGGCTTGAGGTTGGGGAGAACGCTGTCTCCTTCCATCCTGCCTGGCCTCCTGCAGACTTCATGGCTGCTGTCACCTCCCCTGTTCACCTGCTGACACTCTGGTTCTCCTCTCTGTCCCCCAGGTCATCCACCACCTGAGGCTCTCAGAGAATGAAAGTGTAGCCCTGCGGGAGCTCCTGGACTGGAGACGGAAGCTCTGCGAGGAACAGGAAGACTGGCAACATGTCCTGCAGCATGCAGAGCCCCGCACGCCCCCACCACCTCCCTGCAGGAAGCCCACGCTTCTCAAGAAGCCTGAGACTGCTTCCTGCAGCAGGCTGCCCTCCGAGCTCTGGGACAGTACCATCTGACATGGTTTGGAGGTGTCCACACAGCAGAACTGCCTGGCGGCGAGGGCTGCATCAATCTCTCCATGCATTTACACTAAAGCACAGGACCCTGACTCCGAGATCTCAGTGTGTGTGTGTGTGTGTGTGTGTGTGTGTGTGTGTGTGTGTACATGCTCATGCACATGTGTGTGATTGCATGTATGTATCTATGTTACAGTGCCACTCTGGTTGTCGGGCTACACATCTGCCCCGCAATAAGGAGAGTGGCTGGAGCGGTGCTGGAAATGAGAGCAGGTGCAGCTCTGGGGGCTTCGCACAGCCAGCCAGTCGGGCCTTTGTCTAGCTGATGGCTGAATTATGACTCGGTGCGCAGGACATGGATTTTGTAGGTGTTTGTGTGTTATGGGGTTATAAACCTGTCGGTTATTTTACACATTTATTACTGTGTTTTATAACTTCATGCAATCCGTGGTGCTCCCTTCCTTTAAAATATAGATTTTAAAAAGTCATTTCTAGGATTCTTTTCCTCCACCTACCCTTTTTTTTTTAATCTAAAGTACCCAAAGGCCTGGAGACTGTGTTGTTGCTTAGCTTGGCACCCACCCACGGCAGGTCCCCGCAGGTCCCCAGGTTAGACCTTGCCATCTGTTAGAACGCAGCTCTGCCCATGGCTTTTTTTCCTGCTTAGAATCTTCGTCCTCTTGGCTGGGGCAGAGGTTACAGGATATTTGCATACTTGCAGTGCTCAGTGAAACGGATGACTTCAACTTCACAGCTAGAAGCCCAATCTAAGGCCTCAACACTCCAGAGACATACATAGGCCGAATCTCCCTGGCCTGAGCAGCACTGCATCAAGAGACACTGTGCACCCCCGGCCTGCTGCATGAGCCCAAGCTGTGCTCCCTTCCCTTTTCTCGCCTACCTTGCTGTCTCACCCACGTGCTTCTGCTGGCTGTCCGCAAGTTCTGAGCCCTGGCTCTAGTCTGCCCTGTCTTGCTACTTTGAACTTTTGATTCATACCAGCCTTTGGAAAGTTTCTGTGCCAATAAAAGGGTACAATGATGTCCTTCTGTCATTTTATTTTCTTCGTGGTGGTGGATGTTTTAAAATATTAGTACCAGGATTATTTATCAATGCCAAGATAAGAAGATGACTGCCTCCAAAAGAGAGTTTACTGTGATCAAAATTCCCAAGTGGACAGGCCGTCCGGTGGTTGGCCACATTTGTGCCAGGGTTGCTGGAGAGCTGGGAACCAGTGAGCTGAGCCTTTCCTGCAGTGTGTCCAGAGTGTAGGTGAGGCAGGGTGCCCAGGCCCAGAGCCAGATCTTAGGAGCAAAGTTGGGATCCATGGTCCGGGGGTGACCTGGGCAGGTGGGCAGTGGTCTGGAATGTAATGTGAGCTGAAGAAGGAAGAGGATGTGGATTCTAGATCAGCAGCTTTGTGTCCTCACCTCCTGTGGCTAAGAGTCAACTGACCCTTGACACATTAGGGTCTTCAGGTGAAGGCCTTGAAACACACAGAATAAGAGGTCACTGCTGACACACAGTCACTGCTACCCTCCAGCAGTCACAAGTAGGTCCCCAGCCTGGTCCCAGCCATCCCTCAGCCAGCCACTCTCCAGCCTGTTCCTCTGTCATCTCCAGAACCCAGCCCAGAAGCAACGGGAAAGACTCCACTTTTCATCCACACAAGGCTTCCTGGAGGCCATGCCCTGGAAGTTGTAGACAGTTAATAATCTCCATAGAATTGGATGTTTGCATAACCCTCCTCATGGTGAACTTATTTAGCCCAGAGTGGAACTTGATTGAGCAACTAAGACATTAACGTTGCATGCACTTGCTTTGGCAGTGTGAAGCATATGGGATCTAGTCTTCCTAACACTGTCTAGTTCAAGCTGCTGTAGCAAATTGGTTTGGGTTGGTTGTTCTAGTTTTATGTATTTATTGTAAAGATGATGAATGGGGGGGTACAGTTATATAAGTAAGGTAATGAGTACATTTCTTTTTAAACACTGTTACTTCCTCCCTCATTTTCTCCCACTCACTCCTCCTCACTCCCCTTCACCCCCCAGTTGTACAGTTCATTTCCAACATAGTGTATAGAGAGTATCATTGTTGCATTAGTTCATCCTTTGTGCTGCTGTTTCTGTGGTTCCCTTTCCCTTCCATGGATCAGAAAATCTTATAAGTAGCAAATTGTTTTCAGCAACATCTATCCTCAGAACTCTGGTCCTGGCTAGGGAGGCCAAGATCACAACTCCCCATGATCCGGTGATCTGCTTCCTAGTCTACAGATAGCCATGTTCTAAATGTGCTCACAAGGCAGAGAGGAGGAAGAACAGAAGCAAGCTTCTGAGAGCTCTTTTCTAAAGTCATCAATCCCATAATGAGGTTCCAATTTAAGACCTAGGCACTTCCCCAAAGCCCTGTCTCCTAGCATCCCGCCACTGGGGATGAGGTTACCACAATGTAATTCAGGGAGCATGCAAGCAACCAGTTCGTGACACTAGTGTGTACCCACAAGGCAATTACTGTCTTTGTATTAATACTAAGACCAACGTTGTCCATCAGAAGATAAACCCTGATCCATACGATGCCAAGTACCATTTTAACTTGATTTTCAGAAATGCCAACTTCTTCTCTTTAAAGATAGCTTAAAAGCACTACAAATCAGGTCATCTTTTCTGGAACAGAGTGGCGTGAAACTTTGTTATGAGACTATTGTATGAGCCAGGGGCTGGTGGCTCACACCTGTAATCCTAGCTGCTCAGGAGGGAGAGATCTAATGATCACCGTTAAAAGCCAGCTTGGGCAGAAAAGTCCCCATGAGACTCTTAGGACCAATTAACCACTCAAAAATGAAGTGGTGCTATGGCTTAAATGGTAGAGCACTAGCCTTGAGCACAAAGAGGCTAGGGTCAGTGCCCAGGCCCTGAGTTCAAGCTCTACAATCAACAACAACAACAAAGGTCTATTGTATGAAGACTTTATATGAGGAAGTGTCCCTCGTCCACACTGGGTATCACTTTAAAGTCTGTAAGTCCCTGAAGGGGGACTTTCACCCAATAAGATACCGTGATCATCAACAACATTAACTACCCTCTTGAGAGGACTTTCACTGATCATCAGAGGCTGGAAGGCAAGCCCTTGATGACCTCTTAAACATGGTTTCTTGGGTCAGTGTTAAGGCCTTCTTCCCCCATGGAGAGAGATGAGGTGAGCTCACCACTGCATAGCACCATCTGGATGTACCTATGCTGCTTACATAACAGGAAGACCAACAGAGACTCCACAGTGATTACCCACAGTAATAGGAGGGCACTAATAGTCACAGGCATCAGCGGGGTATTTGTGGGCATTAAAGGTCACTCTGAATGACTCGCTAATGAGTGTATTCTTGTAGGAAGTAGACAGAGGTGCATTCTGGGTAATAAAGCACCAACTATTTTCCCACATAAGCAAGATTCCAACAATTATGTATGTTTGCAAAAAGTAATGATATTTTAATTGCCATTAGACCATAAGGTATGAATTATGATGTATTATTAGACCTGCAATTCTATGTTCAGCAATATAATTGGTATGAATTATTACCCTGTGTTCAAACAGTGCCCCCTTCTATTGCTTTCCTAAAAAATTATTTATGGAAGCATTCTAAAGTCTACTACCAAAATGTTTATAGTGGGTTAAAATTACTTAAAATGTATTTTCCAGGTTGGAAAAATATACATCATTACTATTTTTAAATTGTGGTATCTAATTTAGCAGAATTATGATTATATAAATCTACTCTATATAAATGTAACAACCAATTAAAATCTGACATTTGTGAATAGACTTTACATATAAACATTACATGGGTTGGACAAATAAATACATTATGAATTCCATAGCCCAGAAAGATGAACAACCTCCTCTTAACATGCTATTGCTGTCAGTTTCCAGCCAAACACTAGCTCGTCTCACCAGAAGACATGAGGTTATTAAATAGCAGCAGGTGACACATTTCACTCCTGATTGTCACTCCTGCTAATAATCCCCCCATCCCCAACTTTTAGCTATTTTTTGAGAAGGTAATTGATTTCAATGTTAATTCTCATCAGGCAGCTTTCAATTAAAAAGCATTCTGAAATTAATTGTGTTCCAAGTAATTTTTTGCATAAAGTCAGCACATTTTTCAAATTGTTTTTAGTCGCTCACAAATACAAACATCCGTACAATCAAGATAAAAGCAATTACATTTCCATTTACTGTAATGTGGCAAGTTTGCTGCTTTCACAAACCTAAAACATTTCCCCACCATCATTATTCTTAACCCTACATCTTATTCATAAGCAATGACTCTATAAAAATAAATTTTTCTATGAACAATGCTCTGCCCTGCAAGGTTTCTGTGTGTGTTACAAAGACCCCATTCGACGGCCCAGCCCTGTGGTGTGCTGAACTTCAGGCTGGAAAATTTTGCCTTTGTAGATTTTCAGTTACCCAAGTTCCTCAGACCCCTGGGATGCTCCATTATTGTAGCTTCCATAAGTTTCTTTAAAATCTAGTATGCTTTGTAAACTTTAAAGATGACGTTTTTTCAAAGGGTAAGTTTTATTAGGCGCCTGTAATACATGTCTGTTATGTTCTAATTCCTCAGATCACTTTGCAAGGTTTTGAAATGTATTTATACTTGAAATGTCCTTTCTGTATGCCTCAACAGAAGGTCAGTGTCATCTGGATCCTCACAATGGCATGAAGAAATTTTGATGTCTCCTCAGGAGGAAATAATTTAAGGTGGACAAATGTATGCATTTCATAGAAATGTACAGGGGGAAACAATGGTTCGTCTCCTGCAGAGCTTTATTTCTGTCCCTAATGAGGGTGAAGATGAACCACCAGAAGATCACAATCAATGTGACACATGTTCCAGCCTCCCTGTGTTTATTTATTCTACTTAATTGAATGTTAGTTGTATTTAAATGCAACGTGCAATTTTCTGTTTCCCTTTTACTAAATGGACACTGATGTAAAAGTGC